CTTGCTAAAAGACAAAGATGATCAAACTGCTTTTTAAAATCAGCTTTATATCTTCTTTATAAGAAACACAGCTAAAACAAAAGGATGCTTAAGATTCTGCAAGTAAAAGAAGAGAAACATGGCAGGCGCTGAACAATGGTGTGGAACCTCATACATTGCTGGTGAAATGCAAACGGCCCAGCCACTTGGGGAATGTCGGGAAGTTCCTTGAAAAGTTAAACAGTTATCATTGGACCCAGCAAGTCCACTCCGAGAAATGAAAACATATGCTCACAGGAAAACTTAGACATGAGTGTTTATAGTAGCATGTTTTCATAAAAGCCCAAATCTAGAAACAACCCAAATGCCCATCAACTTATGAGCAGATAAACAAACTGCAGTGTGACCACGCAACGAAATATCACTCAGCAATAAAGAGGAATAGAAGTACTGATACATGCTATCCCATGGATAATCCCCCCAAATATTGGGCTAAGTGAAAAAGCCAGTCACAAAAGGCCACATACTATACAATTCCATTTATATAAAATGTCCAGAATAGGTGAGTCCATAGAAATAAAAGGTAGATGAGGGTTGTCAGGGCTGAGGGGGGATAGGAAGTGATTGCTAATGGATTTCTTTTTGGGATGATGAAAATGTTCTGGAATTAAATGATGGTGTAAGTTGTGTGACTCGGAATATCCTAAAAACCATGAAATTGTATACTTTAAAAGAGTGAATCTTAGGGTATGTGAATTTACCTCAGTAAGGCTGTTATTTTTAAAAAACAGGTACAGCATGATTAACATCAGGCAAAACAGAATCCAGGACCGAAATTGTATACTTTAAAAGAGTGAATCTTAGGGTATATGAATTTTACCTCAGTAAGGCTGTTATTTTTAAAAAAACAGGCACAGCATGATTAACATCAGGCAAAACAGAATCCAGGACAAAAATATATTAATAGAAATATCAAATGCTTTGGAAACATGCATTAAAATCTACTTAATTGCTTCCATAGGTTATGGACAAGCAACAAGCATAGAAGACCTCTGAGCCAGGCCCTCCATGACTGAAGGGAGTGGGGAGGGTATGAGCAGAGCTCTGCTGTGTGCGCGTGTGCGGCAACCAGTGACGGCAGCATGCACTCACAGGGCCAGGTTGCCAAGGAGTTCGAGCTTTATTTTGCAGGCTTTTTAAAAAAAGGAAAGATGTTAGATATTCCTATTTTATTTATTAATTTTATTTTAGATATTCCTGTTTTTTTTTTCTTTTTAAAAAAATATATTTTATTGATTTTTTTACAGAGAGGAAGGGAGAGGGATAGAGAGTTAGAAACATCGATGAGAGAGAAACATCCATCAGCTGCCTCCTGCACACACCCCACTGGGGATGTGCCCGCAACCAACATACATGCCCCTGACCGGAATCGAACCTGGGACCCTTGAGTCCGCAGGCCGACACTCTATCCACTGAGCCAAACGGGTCAGGGCCAGATATTCCTGTTTTTAAAAGCAGCACTGCAGGGGCCATGTGTGGAAAATAAATGATAGGGAGAAGAAGCAACAAATAGGTAGGATGGAAGATGGATATTTATTTGAATTAGAGTAGGCAATGGATTGTGCCAAGGGGGATATTCGTTTGGATCAGCCGTGGGCAAACTATGGCCCGCGGGCCGGATCCAGCCCGTTTGAAATGAATAAAACTAAAAGAAAAAAAAAGACCGTACCCTTTTATGTAATGATTTTTACTTTGAATTTACATTAGTTCACACAAACACTCCATCCATGCTTTTGTTCCGGCCCTCCGGTCCAGTTTAAGAACCCATTGTGGCCCTCGAGTCAAAAAGTTTGCCCACCCCTGGTTTGGATGCTGGGATTGGGGGAGGAGGAGCCCAGACAAAGGAGTGGTAAATGGAGAAGACAGGAGTGAGTGTGGGGACAAAGGGGATGGGCAGGGAACAGTGAGTTTAATTTGAAGCATATGAAGTACTTTGGACAAGTGGAAATTTAGAGCTGAAATTCAAGAAAGCAGGGCTGGTGATAGCGATTTAGGTATCTTGACATAAGGCAGTTGGGTGTGCCTCATTTTCTAATGCTCACTGTATGAAGAGCTAGGAAAGTATGACATTTTTTAATTCATTTTAAATTACGGAGTCACCTGTATTTTCGAAGGAAGTCAGTCGGGTGTCTGATACTGCTGATTGCTACTCAACAACCATCCCCTCTTCTTCCTCATAGCAGAAGCCCTAAAATTTGAGAGGGGGCTGGGGTGGCAGTTGCAGTTTGCTCAGCTAAAAATATGTGATTTCTCAGACTGTCATGCATGTAGGGTAACCCTGTGACATTACTCTGGCCAACGAGATTTTGGTGGAAGTCCCTAAGATGTAGGTGGGAGGGCATTACCTGCTGAGTAAAACAGCAAACCTCCCTAATAGAAGGGCCCTCACTCTTTGGCTGTTGACACTTTCCTCTGCTTCCTGCCTGTCCACGGATATAAGCACAGAGATGCAGCAGCCATCTGTGGCCAGGAGGCAACCAGGTTGAGGATGAGGTCCTGCAGGCCAAGGTGATGGAAAGAGCCTGACTCTCTGACAGCACTGTTTAGCTCCTGCCTTGGACTGGACTGCCTTTCTTGGAAGGCCATTCCACAAAACAAATCGACTTGTACCTGTTTTAGCCAGATTCTGATGTTTTGTTTTGTTTTTTGGTCGCTGAATTCAATCCTGATACAGTATATACGTTGGATATATACAACATATCCACATTTTTAGTAAGTAGATACTAAAAATGACAATTATTTCAGTTGCTTAAAAAAAGTTTAAAAATAAAATATTATTTATTCTCACTACAAAGAATTACTGAAAGCAATAAGGGGCTTAAGAGAGAGTAGAGAGCACTGGAATCTTTTCCCAAACAGTGACAAAACTGCAGCTGAAGGGAGATCAGGGGACCACCAGTCCTAAGAAAACTCACCCACACACACTCACCGGCTACTGAGCATATGCGGGTGATGACACCCTTTGCACTTTGGACCAGGTAAACTGATTTGGCTCCCGTAAATGGCTGCAGCCAGAACACATGTTCTTCAAATGGACGTGTTCACCTGACTCTCCCAAGAATGATAACCTTTGGAGAAAGAGTCTTTCTACGCTCCCAGGGACACAGTCAAACAGGAAATCGCACGACCTTGAGCCACAGACTTGGGGCCCTTCACTGGGCTGGGCTCTGGGATTATGTCTCCGGAACTACAGTCAATGACGTTCTAGGAAAGCCTCCCTGTTGCCTTCTTCCACAAAGCTCCCATTGTCTTCTTGGCAGGGACCTTGTTGAAGACTGAGATCCCTATGGCAACAGTGACTGTTTTGAAGATCCCTCAGGAGGAAGGTATTCCAGTTTTCAGGATCAGGAAAAGCTGGGTAACTGATCTGTTTTTATCTCCTGGTCACTGTGGGTCGGGTAACAACTATTTGTGTTTTTCTCTTTGTTTTGCCTCCTGGGAAGCTCTGACAAAATTTTTAATCCCATCTCCAGAAACTACATTAGACCTTCCAGTAAACTCATTTCTAGAAAGTACCTACACCTTATGAAATATTCTTGTTCTCTAAAATAGCTCTGATTTTATCTCATTTTCTAGTCCATGTGTTCTCTTATCTATGAATTTTGTTGTTTACTACCTATTTTTATAAGCTTCTCAAATGCTTTATGGACCACTTTAAGACAAGCAATTTTTAAAAGTATCAGGTAATAATGATAAAAAGTAATCACTAACTTATTGAGCATTGCTATGAATGAGGCACTATAGTAGTACTGAATTTATCTTAATTTATTTGCCCTAAATATGAGATAAGTACTATTATGATGATGCCAATTTTACAAATGGGAAAACTGAGTCACAGAGCAGTTAAGTAATTTGCTCACAATCATACAACAAATAAGTGATGAAAGCAAGATTCAAATCCAGGTAGTCTGAATTATGTGAGTCATACAAAAGAAGAAATAATAATATTTAATTTCTAAAAGAAGCAGAGGCCTTCTGATTTTATAGGCTGAGCTTAGCATTTTTCTTTTATAAGGAGATATCTATGATATATCTTGTCCATACAATGATGCCTGATGATCTACATCAATAAAAGACGAGACAGTAAAAGTCAAAAGGACAAACAATAAAAAAGTAGTTGGATTTTATCTTGGATCATAAAGATATTCTTTCCTTCACTCACTCACTTAGTCAGTCCCCATCATGGCCAGGCCTGGTGCAGGTGCTGGGAACAGAGGTGAGGTGGACCCAGAACCTGCCCTCCAGGAGCTCAGGTGCCATAAGGGTAAGTCAGGCAGGTAAAGGACACGTGGGGGCTATGAGTGGGCTAATGGCAGACCAGACAGGGTGTGACATGATCATCCTGAGTGACCCTTAGACTCGCCGTCCCAACTGATAATGGGAATAAGAATCAATTCCCTTTTAGGGCTGTCTAATGATTTCATACATATAAAGCTCTCAGCCTGGCCCATCACACGAAGGGTTCAGTACGTGTGAGCCTTTACTCTTAAGGCACAGTGGATGGCAACCTGGGCACCTTGCTCAGACACACACGCACACTCACACGCACACGTCCTCAGACACACATGTGCACTCACACACACACATGTCCCCAGACACACACGTGCACTCACACGCACACGTCCTCAGACACACATGTGCACCCCCACACACATGTCCCCAGACACACACGTGCACTCACGTGCACACGTCCTCAGACACACATGTGCACCCCCACACACATGTCCTCAGACACACACGTGCACTCACACGCACACGTCCTCAGACACACATGTGCACTCACATGCACACATGTCCTCAGACACACACGTGCACTCACACGCACATGTCCTCAGACACACATGTGCACTCACACACACGTCCTCAGACACACATGTGCACTCACACGCACATGTCCTCAGAAGCTCAAGAGCAGAGGCTGGCTCCTGCCTCTTCCTACCTCCTCCCAGGAGCTGACTTACAGTCCACAGACGGGCCTGGCACTCATTTCTGGATGCCACCTTCTCAGAACCAGCGTCTTGCTGGAATACAGCCCCCACACAGAATGAATATTCCTTCAAGATGCACTTGAAAACCTTCCTCCACAGTGCCTGGCCCCATGACTCTCATGGGGCGCTTCTGCCACATCGGCTCCGTTTCACGGTATCTTTGGCACATCCACCCTGTAGCGCATGGTACGAGTCCCCGGCTGCATAAGGGGTCACGTTCCCGCTTGATCAGGTCTAAGGAAAGACCCGACTAGAATTGCAAACTGGCCGAAGCCACAGAGAAAACATGTGCGACACCTGCTCTGCATCAGCTGGGAACCCCACGCCTCTTTGGTTTTGTGCAGTGGCTGAATCAAAAGGAATTAATCATTGCCTCACCAACCCCAGCTCAGACTGAAGAGTTCCCTCTCCGAGTTTGTTTTGTCATGCCATCAGCAAAGTCAGTCAAACATCACGGTTCCTCGCTAAATATTCCAGCAGCCAGATGGCAGGAATGCTACTGTGACAAGGCAAAACTCGCCTAAAGATAACTTGGTGATGCATCATCACGCCTGATGGCACTCGGCTGAGCCCATTCACCCAGAGAGACCTCTTCAGCTGCCCCACTTCATCCGGGTTCTTCAAACCAGACATTATAATTCCAAACGTCCAACTCTGCAGGGAGAAACTGGCTGGTAAAACAGACACGTCCCTACTTCCCTAGGCTCTGAATTGCAGGAAGAAGTAGATCATCACAAGACCACGTATTAGGACACATTCCTCTATATTCCCCTCTAGGTATCATGTTACGGAACCCTAAAGTTTCAAATATTTCCGCACCAAATTTCATGGGTATTCATAATCATGTTTGCTAGAAAACAAATTTCCTTCCTTCTGCCAAGTCACTTTTGTAGTTCTCTGTGTGTTTTTTAACTTAAGCGTTGACGAACATATGGTTATAAATTCTAGACCAGTGGTTCTCAACCTTCCTAATGCCGCGACCCTTTAATATAGTTCCTCATGTTGTGGTGACTCCCAATTTCATTGTTACAAATTGAACATAATTAAAGCATAGTGATTAATCACAAAAACAATATGTAATTATATATGTGTTTTCCGATGGTCTTAGGCGACCCCTGTGAAAGGGTCGTTCGACCCCCAAAGGGGTCGCAACCCACAGGTTGAGAACCGCTGTTCTAGACTGTAAGAAAGTTGACTGATCCACCCTGGTGAAAACTCTATATGCTCTCTTCTAGAGTTAATTACATTTTGGTTTCTCAGACCTTTTCTAGATTATATTATGTATTCTCTCCCCCCCCCCTTTTCTCTCTCTCTCTCTCTCTCTCTCTCTCTCTCTCTCTGTGTGTGTGTGTGTGTGTGTGTGTGTCTGCAAAATCACAACCTGTACTATATGGTTTCTGAACAATACATCTCCTAAGAAGAATGTTGCCAGCTGGGCCAGCTGGCTTTCTCCTGCTCCTAAAACTGTATGTTCTTAGACACACTGCCTCCATCCCTTCTGCTGCTGGCTAACTCCGGTCTGTGTGACACCATCTCACACTTGCAATTCTATGAAAACAACGGAGACTCCTGGAAAGGAACAAAAAGGGGGCATGGCAGGGAGCCAGCCCCGAGTCTCCGTCACTCAGCTGTCACTCAGCCAGCTGTGCCCTGACTCAGGTGGCCCAAGTAGCCTGTTCATGGCTGCATGTATAGAATTTGAAGTCTGTGGCCCTAGCCAGTTTGGCTCAGTGGAGAGAGCGTGGGCCTGCGAACCAAAGGGTCTCAGGTTCGAGTCAGGTCAAGGGCACGTACTTGGTTGCAGGCGCCTCCCCTGCTCTGGCCCTGGTCGGGGGCTCCTGCAGGAGGCAACCAATCGATGTGTTTCTCTCACATAGATATCTCTCTCCTTCCCTCTCTCTTCTACTCTCCCTAAATATAAATGGAAAAATATCCTCGGGTGAGGATTAACAACAACAAACGAATATGAAGTCTGTGTACCCAGGTTCTTACCTCTGGCTCCTCTGAGTAAGGCATTTCACCGTATGACCTTTTATTTTCTCATCCTTAAAAAGGCACAGCAATAACTGTATCATATGAGGGGATGCCTGTTAAGGCATTTGGTAAAGCCCCCTGCAGTGTATATTTCCTTTCCTGTAATTCCCCAAATTTCTTTTGCACCCCTGTCCTTTTATTTTTCCCGATTTGGATTCTGTGGGTTTTAAATGTCTCTCTAAAATGCATTGACTGGAAAGCTGCATTAAAATTTTATTTACTTTTTTATTGAGGTAAAACTTAAGTGCACAAATCTCAAGGGAATAACCATACATTTCGATATGCATGCCCCTAAGCGGTGGAGGGGCACACTTTCCCAGCACCCCTGAAGCTCCCCTCTAGGTCGTCACCAGGCCTAAAAGCAACCCCTCTTCGAACCTCACCTTGATTAGCTTTGCCTAAAGAGAAAAAAAAAATCCAGGGAAGGCTGGTGTCCCAGGGATAACCGCTATTGCTGACCAACAATTGTACCTCCAACCCTTCCTCCGAAGAGATGAAGGATCCTGGCAAGGAGGCGAGGGCACGGACTTTCTAAATCACACGTCACGTCGAACAAGGCCCTCCTTTTGCAGCCAACGATCTGCAACAAGGCTGGGAGCTCAGCGTCCTGCTACAGAGTAACTTTCCTTCCAAGCATGCGGCCGAGGCCTTCCAGCCGGGCGGGCACAGCGCTCCCCGCGCAGGACCTCTCTCCAGGGCTCAACGCACACTC